TATATATATATATATATATATATATATATATATATATATAGGAATTCATTATTATTTTATTTATATTACTTCATGATTATTATTTTTTATATTATCATGAAAATTTCATGATCTTTCATAATAATTTGATAATCTCATGATAATTTTATTAACCCTCTTCCAGGTAACCAATTTCACTGACGCATCGGGATCCAGCGAATGCAGGAATGTCTGCGACGGGATTTGCTTACAGATGAACTTTTCGGACGCGAATAAGGAAACAAAACGTTATAATTAAATTGTTTAATATAAAACTACTTTCAAAATACTTTAAATTGGATTTTAAAACCTTTTTCTTTTATTAAAAATCACGCAGACTGTTTATGTGGGTAGGTTGATTGCAGACAGGCTTTGAACAGACGCTACACCTCTTTGTTTCCTACTTCATTTCCAAAGGCACAAATAACAAAATTTTTTGGCATTGTTATATTTTTCTGAGTTGTGGGAGATGCCTCTTCCCTGATAACGTATGTGAATGATAGGCGAAACTTTATGCAATCTTGTTTAATTGTCTTCTTACATTTTGGAAACCAAATCCTTTGCAATATCAGCCATAAAGATTCGTATGATCTCGTATTTTCTAATTTTCAGTAAGGGTTGGCAACATACCAGTTGCTGTGCATTTTCTCGCAAAATATGGACCGTACACGACTTCAATAACTCACTTTCCTGACCCTCACTAACCCGCTACATACTAACCTGCAACAACATTGTTTACGAAGGCGTCGTTCTTAGAAACGCTCGGTCTTATCTTAGATAACACCACGTTGAAATGACGTTGCGCAACCCAACATCCATCAGTCTCTTGGACACGAAACGGTCGTCAAGTAATCCACCAAACAAAATCAGAAAATACAATATTACACGTACATTAAGAGGCCTGCGTCCAATGGATCCCGCTTCCCTGGTTGCGGCTGAGAAAAGTTAAAGATTTTTTACTAATTATTCAGTAACGCTTTCGTAAAATGGTCGAGGGTTCTATTAAACACATCATAGCAAACAAATTCACAAGAAACTATTCCAACCCCTTCCATACATTTCCCGTAAAATATTGAAAATATTTTTGGGAAATCAAAAGGATCCCGGTGGCCCGGATAAGTGTTAATCTTAAAATAGATGACTGGGCTGAAAGAGCGTGCTGATCGCTAGCGTACATGCAATGTGAAGACCATTTCCTGAGCGAATGCTTTATGGGTAGATGGCTAGGTTGCAAGAGCGCGCTCTTCGCGAGCGTAGTACATGATGTGCAAAAGCCCTTCTCAGAGAGAATGCTTTATGCGCAGATGGCTGGGCTGCAGGATATCACTAATCGCGAGCGTACATGAAGTGTGAAGGCCCTTCTCAGAGCGAATGCTTTATGTGCAGATGGACGGGCTGCAAGGACGCACTCATCGCGATCGTGCATGAAGTGTGAAGGCCCTTCTCAGAGCAAATCCTTTATGCGCAGATGGCTGGGCTGCAAGGGCGCGCTGATCGCGAGCTTTGTGTCGTACATGAAGTGTGAAGGCCCATCCCTAAGCGAGTGCTTTATGCGCAGATGGCTGGGCTGCAGGATAGCACTAATCGCGAGCGTACATGAAGTGTGAAGGCCCTTCTCAGAGCGAATGCTTTATGCGCAGATGGCTGGGCTGCAAGGGCGCGCTGATCGCGAGCTTCGTGTCGTACATGCCGTACATGGCGGCGCAGTTCGCGGCGTCGTACGCGACGGTGGCGCCGACAGCGCTGCTGCTGGGGCTGGGCGGCGGGCCCTTCTGGTGCGCGCAGTGCCTGTACGTGTGCGCCCTCGCCGCCGAGTACGCGCGGCGCCGCCACCTGCCCAGGGACGTCGTCGTGGTGCGCTTCTTCGGCATCTTCTACACCGTCTACGAATTTGGGCAGATCTTCGGCAACCTCGTGTCGTCGCTGGGTGAGTTGCACCACTAGGAGCGGGCACGCAGAGCTGCGCTCTACAACAAAATAATAATAATAATAATAATAATAATAATAATAATAATAATAATAATAATAATAATAATGCAAGGAATAGCCAATGAAGTGCTCGCTTGTGGCAGTGCTGGGGTCGAGCTGGGCGCCCAACAACTCGTCAGCGGACGTGCGCGAGCTGTGCGGGCCCGGCTTCTGCCCCGGGCACAACGCGCTCACCAACCCCAACCTGGAGCGCCCGCCCGACTACCAGATCTACATCGTCAACGGCGTCTACCTCGCGCTCATGGGAGTCTCCGTGCTCTTCCTCGTTTTCGGCCTGGACTCGCTGCGCAGGTGGGTGCGCCGCCAACGGCCATCTTATCGCAATACGAACACGATACGAAATACCGAAAATTATTGATTCATGTTTTCGGCCAATTTATCTTGGTTCAAGTCCCGTAAGCCCGGCGGTGTTTCTTGCCCGTTATAACGTCAGATCCGGAGTTGATTTTCACGTCGTCTATCAGGGGTTTCTCCCTGCAGGTACCTCCACCAGTGGGGTACCGCCCCAGCCTGAACCACTAAGATCCCTACATGTGATGTAGAGTAATGTGTGTGTGTGTGTGTGTGCGCGCGCGTATGTATATGTGTGTGTGTGTGGGTTGGTGTGGGTGGGTGTGTAAGAGGAAAGGAGGAGACAAGGTTGAGAAAGGAAAAGTCGTGCGGCGTCCGTGGCCATTGGTTTGGATGCAGCTATAGGATTCGCCTAGAATAAATCGGGAAAATCACGGAATCTACCTATCAGAGCCACCAGCTACTACAATTATTCTCTCTAGAGCGTACGCCCGAATTTGACCTAGCTTTCTAGCCAGTGTGAAAAAATAAATACTTATTTTCAACAAAGTTGATTTATCAGATTGGCCTGAAACAGCAGAACTTTGCTTTTGTTTCTGCTCTGTGATATCAAATATCGCTGTGACTCTACGCATGCTTACTTCGTTAACAAGAGAATATCAGTGAGGCAAATTGTTTTGTAATCGTAACTCTCAATATATATTGTAATCCTACTATCAGAATAATCTTTGGGCTGTAATAAAATTGTCAATATTGTAGCATCTGGCTGACTGATCTACCAACAAATATGAATGAAGATTTTTGTTCAAAGCTCACTGGGAATGAAATAGCAATGATCACTTAGTTCTGAAAGGATAAGTGTAAATTCGGCCACACGATCAGTCGTCAACTTGGAGAATTGGTTTTATCCCATCACTCATTTATTTTCTCTCTTTTGTATCTTGTTGTTGATTTGTTGTCCCTTCAATGCTCATATTCTCGAATTCTCTTGTTCTCTCCCTTTGTTTCCCATCCTTTTCTTCAATTCTCACGTACTTTTCCTCTTCTCTTTCTTGTTCTCGCCCGCTATCCTTTTCATTTTTCCTTCTCTTCCTCGCAACGTTCATTGACTGTTCCGGGCCGCTGCGACGCCGGGCCGCTAGCGGCAGAGAGTTAGTACTCTGCAGACCGCAATTCCGGTCAGGGCCGTGACTCCTCCAATTGGTGGGCCAGGCGGCGCGTCGCTTGACCCAGGCCATCTGGAGCGGCAACGCGCATTCCCCATTTCGGCACGCGACTGTTCCTGGGATTCACTGCTCACTGGAATCAGCTTTCGATACAATGCTTTTGGACAATTTGTAAGAGACTATCGACACGAGACCCGGAAAGTGAGCTACTGCGGAACAGAAATATCTCCTCAGGCCTGCATCAAACTAATTTAACGTAAATAAAACTGTTGATGCTATAACAGCACGTAATTTAAAGCTTTAGTAATGGTTACGAACATTTTCAATACCACACTTTCTGGCCATATTAACACATTTCAACCACCACTTGTAAAATATAGGTATTGTGGTGAGTTATTGTTGGCATTTCCAATGAAATAATTATATGCGTCGTCATAGACAACAATATTACCACCAACACCACTTGTAAAACTCATTACCAGTTGTAGTGTATTACGTGTGAAAATTAATTGCTCTAAAGGTAATGTATTTACACAAATTCGATTATCCAAAACTGGGTGCCACACAGACAGCAAATTCGCCTAAGAATCAGAAGTAATTCTACTAGTTACTTCTTCGAATGAGAAGTAAACTGCTGAGTGGCGGCGTTGCCATTGTATTGCGGGCTGATATACTGTAAAAGACTGATAAGTCGTAAAAGAAGCGCAGTAAAGTCTACTTTGCAATTCCAATTGACGACAAAAATGAAGCCAAACTATTTACATTTTAAAACATCGTATATTAGGTTATTTAAAAATCAAATTTTTAACATCAAATGTCATTAAGTTAAAAATCTCTATCAATAATATAGATATGTTAATATTTTCCGCGCGAAAACTGATTGCTAAATGTTAATATTTTGCAATTTTCACAAATATTGAGGGTTTGCAGAAAATGGAACCTGTATCACTTTTATAACCGTACTTTTTTTTATTCGAGAAACAATTGAGAAAAATGGGATCCAAAGTACAAAATATAAGTTCTTTTAAATCATCTATATGGCACACACGCGAAAACAAAATATATTACATATTTTAGAACAATTGTACACGGCCTTATTTAAAGATATGCCTTTCAAAAATATATTTAATTAAGAAACAATTTCTATATTCAATATTAAATTAATAAAATGACGCCGAAAAATACTTTTTCAGATTCCAAAAATTCATAGATTTTAACGAAAATGCGTTCTCCTATGTTTTAAGCGTCATGGCTGTGACCAAAAGAGAAAAAACTAATTTCAAAATTTAAGCCATTTATCCGAAACTTTTGACAATGTTAGGGTTTTATGTAAAGTCCTTTCTAAAATGAAAATAACCGTTTCAATTTCAATGGCCGCAACATGAACAATATTGATCAGGAAATATTAATTTTGGTAAAAATCCTTATTACTTGTTTAGCTGCCAGTGCTGTTCGCAGACGGGTGCCAGAGAGACGGACATATGATTCGCCGTAAATCAATTTTTAAGTATCAAGGATTCACAAAATATTCATTATTCTGGCTACACGTGTTAAAGAACGTAATGACTACATATTCGAACAGGGTTTATCTTTTTTTTTTTGTATCAGGGCGCCACAATGCAAGCTTCTCCGTCGAAAATTTGCCGTTATTGCCACAGCAGTAAGATCCTTTTTCTAAACTACTTAATTTGTATATGAGAAAAGAAAAATAGTAATTTGCGTATCGTGACGTAGGGAACAGATTACTGCAACACAATTTCACGTAACTCGGAAACGATGCAACTTATAATAAAGATTCATTGTCCCAAACAGACAATAATTTTGAAGAGAGAGGTGAGTTTTGTGAGAACTGTTTTTGTGGGTAATAGGAGGTGACAGATGGGGGAATGTCGGGGAACAGAGAGAATGGAGTGGAAGAGATGGGGACAAGCACAGAAAGACTAGAATGGCGAGAGACACATAGGGAACATGCGGAGGGGCTTGCGAGAAGCACGTGGGGCTAGATTGCAGTGTTATTATTTACTTGTCGTCGCATCGGCGTTAAGGTCATTAGCGACTAAACAGATACATATATTTTACAGTTACAACATAAAATTTAGATCCATTCATAAAAAAATAGAATTATCTACTTTTTTGGTAATCGAGTCCCACAATAGGAATTTGCAGTTGAAAGGCGTTCTCGCTTTTTATAAAAACATATAATTTAGTTAATTTCAATATTTATATTTATTAGTCTATACAATGATTGGTTACACGAGAAGAGACCTAATAATTTTGAATTTCCCGCAAGTCTACATCGCCGCTTGGAAAGTTTCCCCATTTGACCACTAGAATGCGCTCACAAGTTACATCCCAGATGCGGTCGATTTTGTGGTGCAAAGCTCTATTCTGAAATAAAAACAATACTTTAATAAATGTGGCGTTTTATTTGTAATTTCTGGAATAATATTTACGTATAATAGAAGAAGTTACATAGTTCTACGGGGAAGAGCAGCGGGTTTCTAGTAGAATAAATTTTGTTGGTCCCCTATACCGAGAGTGTGGATAATTCTTGTTCCTATGTTTCTGTTTCTGCCACTTATTGTCTAAACATCTCTTTTGATGATTTTCTCAGCAATCTTGGCGTTGTAAACGAAATCAGAGATCGTTCAATAATTATATCTGGAGGTCCCCTCATTACCACACTGAATTTAGCTTTTCAGTTGTAGTTGTTTTTTTTTCTTTTCTTTTTTTGCTACCATTCGTGATATGAATATTACACGAATATTACTATTTTCTCGCTAATAAATTTTATTTAATTATTTCCCCATTTTTTCATACTCGTGGACCACATGTCCATTTCTATTTAACACGAACTAATAATTAATTACTTTTACTCATTGCCCTGACGGACATCCTTTACAAAATTCGGCATAGTCCTGTCTAAATTTGCACTTACACTTCCTATCTTAATTCACCAGTTCACTTGTTTGACTGTTTCCCTTGTTCATCAATGCGCTCTTGTCGTACTGTTACCATGCATCAAGCGTCTTTTGTCCCCTATCAACAATTTCCTATATTATTTATCTATTCTATTTTTGAAAAAAAACACTTAAAGTGTTTAAAATTTATTTAATGCAACCGCCGAAAAAAACTTTTTCAGATTTCAAAAATTCATAGATTTTAACGAAAACGCGTTCTCCTATGTTTTAAGCGTCATGGCTGTGTCCAAAAGAGCAGGATTTGGATTTTCTAACACCTTACATTCTTAATGACTCATTTTAATTCGCGTTATTGTGAAATTCTTTATATTTCCCTTGTTATTGGGCATTAATGTTTTGCTTCACACACGCCAAAAATTCCGTTAAGTATTTTGCCTTGCCTCAATACAGTAATTAGAATATAAGCAATTGACATGTTAGAGGATTTTTTTCCATATTTAGCTACTGGATTTATCCACTTTTTCCTTACCAGGACAATGAGAGTTTTTGTGTTGAAAATTCGCTGTTTACCGGCGCACGATGACAATACTTTCTCTTCTTACGTTAGTAAGTGCGAAAAAGTAGAAAAAATTGAAGCCATTTTTGAGGTTTCGTGTGAATTGCAAATACCGTTTCAAAATTGCAGTCTCGATTTCCTACAAATTGATTGCCGAATATCAAATTTAGATACTAGCGCCTGAACAATTCAAGCGCAAGCGGGGATCACAGGCATAATTTTTTATTTTAAGACATACGTCTTTCATTGTTTTCAATCGATTTTTCGGTTTCAAAAACCCACAAACCATGGATTCTGATTACACAACGTATTAACGAAAAACATTTACTACGTAGGGTCTAGCTTCATCTATTTTTT